CCCCAGCTTCAGCTGGGAGTAGAAGCACAAAGCATAATGGAGCTGGGCTCTATCTTCTACAGAAGACAGAACTAAGGTTGGGCTGAAAGTCCTGCAAAACCAAAGGTGGACCAAAATCAAGGCTGGACCAAAGGGATCCAGGCCCAGAAGAGCGTTGGAAAGATGGCAAAGGGGACAATGGGGCACTCCCTGAAAATGGGATGCCAAGCAGCCCCAAACCAGGCACAGCTGCTGCTAATGACCTCTGGGTTTCCAGGATTTAATTACCCTTTCCACAAAAATAACTCATATTTAAAAGCAAAGGAAGCTAAGGATGATTTGCATGGTTCTCTTTAATACTGGCTGCGAGTTAATACTCTGGTTTCCTCTGCCCATAACTGGACATGTTATTAACTTCTATTATGATGGGTTTGGCCTTCTAGAGTTGGTGGCCATGACCAGGTATCATTCAAGGGGAAGGCTTTGGATCGGACAGATTTCTCTAAGAGCCCAAAGCCTAGCAGTGTGGGCTCCTGCCTTACAGAGGAACTCGACCCTCACTCAGCCCTTAAAAACTCAGATCTTGAGAGGGGCCAGCATGGGGGAGGGTTGGGAGCCGCCTTTCAGGTTCTAACTCTGCCCCTCTATGGAGCCTGCTATGCATGACCTTAAGCAAGTCACTGGACCACTCTGAGTTCACCTCCCTAATCAGGTAAACCTAAAAAGGATGCCTGATGGTTAGATGAGATAATGCATTATAAAGACCTCACAGGCTGTAGGCACTCTGGAAACGCAACTCAACTCCTTCCCTTCTCCCTAGCAGAGTAGAGAAGGGTACAGGCAGCCATTTCCTGGAGAGGAACGGGTAAGTGTGACACTTACAAGGAGAGGAGCTATGAGCTGAGTTCTGAGAGAGAAGAGAAAATTTTTGCCCAAAGGAAGGCCAGATAAATGCAAATTAATAATAGAATAAACAGAACAAACAAACATTTAGGGAGCTCTTTAAGTGCTAGGTCGGGCACTAAATGTATTCCCGTCCATTATTTCATTAAGTCCTCCTAACGATTCTCAAGATGGGTACTATTTTCCTTATTTTGCAAATGAGGAAACTGAGGCTCAGAAAGTTTATTCATCTGTCCAAGATCATGACAAGAAAATACAGGACTGACTTCAGAGATCCTTGCCGTTCAACACGTACACCCCACACCACGCGAAGATGCACGGATAACTGAGAGCAAGGCTTCCCAGCCTGCAGGATGGTTTCGCGGGGCTTGGGACCCAAGGAGCGGCCGGGTGTGCCCAGCTGCCTAACCCGGGGACTGAGCCAGGAATCCAGTACTACCCCGGCCAAGTCTCGCAGAGTGGCGTAGGGTGCCCGCCCCGAGCCCGTAGCGCAGGGCGGGCTGAGCTGACCAGGCACTTCCTGGCCCCATAAAGCGCGGGCGGGGGTCGAACGCCGTTTTATGGTGGCGGCCGGGCGGTCCGGCCCGCTTTGATTCCCGGTGGAACAAGGCGCGAGGGCCGACCTCCAAGCTCGTAAACGCACTGGCCGCGCGCTGCCTCTCCGGGCCTGCGATATAAGGCTCCGCACAGGCTTCGGGGTTTAGCTCCCGTCACTGCTTCCGCCGCCGCCGAATCATGTCCTGTCTGTCCTCCCGCATCGGTGCCCCCTGCGGGGTCCGCGCCTTCAGCTGCGCCTCCGCCTGCGGGCCCCGGCCCGGCCGCTGCTGCATCACGGCCGCCCCCTACCGCGGCATCTCCTGCTACCGCGGCCTCACCGGGGGCTTTGGCAGCCAGAGCGTCTGCGGGGGCTTCCGCTCTGGCTCCTGTGGCCGCAGCTTCGGATACCGCTCGGGCGGCGTGTGCGGACCCAGCCCGCCCTGCATCACCACCGTGTCGGTCAACGAGAGCCTCCTCACGCCCCTCAACCTGGAGATCGACCCCAACGCGCAGTGCGTGAAGCACGAGGAGAAGGAGCAGATCAAGTGTCTCAACAGCAGGTTCGCCGCCTTCATCGACAAGGTGGGTGTCCTTGATCACACCCTTCCTGAACCTTCAGTTCCTAGGCTGGGCTACTGAAGTGGAGTCAGGGTTAGGAGGGATGTGGTCCAGGTGAACTCTCAGTCTGGTGATGGAGGAGATGGACACACATCCAGGGCACAGACAGACACAGAGCGATGACTACAGGGCAGGGACTCCTCATTTGGTAGCATTTTTATTATATACGACCTCTGTCCAGATAGGCAGGGACCCCACAGACAAGGTGGGTGTCCTTGAGCACACCCTTTTCTGAGCCTGGAGATCCTGGAAGGATCTGGAAATTCCCAGGTCAGTCTCTCTAGAAATGAGGAATGGGGAGTGCTGATATTTTATGTGGTAACATTAGGTGGTACATTAAAGTATTAAATAACATCGAAATACCTGATGAGAAAATTCATCTCCTTTCAAGTATGTTTCAATCTTTTAGATTAAATGGAGAAAATATCATTGGATGCCAACATGTCATTAACATTTCTCTAATATTTGCTACTCTGCCACTGTTACAGAGAGCAAGCCTCAGGTTCAGAGCTGTCTGACGCGAGTTTCAGCTACAACTTAAAATTTTACGATTTTCTTTTATGAATGCAAAGCGATGTTGGTTTTACAAATATGGTGATAATATACAGTTACCCCTCTTACCCCATTTAAGTGTAAATGTTAAGTGAATCCATTTATAGATAAATCATGAGTAAAATAGTACGAGAGAATGACAAAAGCCTGAAGTCCGCCTATGAAGGGTTCATATTTGGGAGTCACTGCCACCCCCTAGTCCAGCCCTTTGAGAAAAAAGACAGGGATATAGGGCAAGAGGACTGCCCAAGTGACTACGGAGAGTGGGTGACAGAGCAGGACTCCAAGCCCGGGCTCTCTCCATCTCTCCAGGCCCCCGGGGCTAGATCATCCAAAGCTTGGGGTCCAGCTACCCCTCTCCTCTCCAGCAGGAGCTAGTCCACCTCAGCAGACTCTGCACCCTGAGTGTGCTGGCATTCATACCTGGGAAAGGTGGCCAGGCGTAGAGCATGGAAAAGCTCCTGGCCCAGGAGCAGGCAGCCTGGGCTCTACGCCCAGCCTCTCCACTGATTTGCTGTGTGATGCTGAGCAGCAGCTTCCCCTCTCAGCCCCAGTGTTCTCCGACCAGAGCTGTGTGGGTGAGTATGTGAGCTGGCCATGACTCTGAAAGGAAAGATGAGAGCCCAGGCAGCCATGAGACTCACCACCGCAGCTCAAGCCCTGTCAACCAATCAGATCACCTGAAATGATTCCATATAATATCAGCGGTCCTGGTTCCCTATTTCTGGAAGTTCCAAACAGGGAATTCCCAGCTGCACTCATCGAGTTGGATGAAAAGATACCAGGGTGAAAGCCAAGGTAACATCTCAACTCCAGCAAGATATATGAGAAATGAAAAATGAGGACAGGGACCTAGTCATGTTTGCTGATGTCCTTCCTGGCCAGCATAGTGCACATATTGTTGCCATTGCATCTCTCAAGTTTCAATAACTGGTGTGCCTCACTTCCCTACAGTTCTCACCTTCCCTACTTTCTAGAACCTCCTCCCATTCACATTACCTGCCTGGCCTTCAGAGACATCTGAGTGTCCAACATAGGAGTTCTGGCCACCTAAGACCACACCCCACCCTCCCCTGTGCTTCCCCAGGCCCCAGTCATCCTGCTTGGTGAGAGCCTGCCCTTCTGACTTCCCCAGTCAGGAAGCCTTTCCCATCTTGACCGTCCAAACAATGGCTCGCCCAGCCCCATTGTTTGGACATAGATAAACATGTCCAAACATGTCCTCAGTGGCCAAAAAGGACCTAGATAAACCTGGAGATGCTCATAGTGAAAGGCTTTCATCCAACTCTCTCTCTCCCACCCTGCTTTACATTTCTTTCCTCCAGGAAGCCTTCCTTGATTGTCACTACCCTCCACCCCTACCTGCCCCCCAGCCCAACTGTAACCCAGCATAGCCCGTATGCCCCCTCATTTTCTCACTCGCCCCACTTGAGCCCACCTGAACAGAACCTCACTCAGGCCTGAACAAGCAATCATGAAATGAGGATACTACCAGTGCCTCCTTAGGCCAGGAGAGCTCAGCAGGGGCCATTCTGTCTACCCCTTGCCTCTGCACACTTTGCTGCTAGTTCTATCTTGACTGCCTCTATGCCTATGCTCTTAGAAGGGCTGGGGATATTGTCTCCTCCCCTCAACTTTTCTCCCACTTCTACACCAGGTGCGCTTCCTGGAGCAGCAGAACAAACTGCTGGAGACCAAATGGCAATTCTACCAAAACCGCAAGTGCTGTGAGAGCAACCTGGAGCCGCTGTTTGAGGGCTACATCGAGACGCTGCGGCGGGAGGCCGAGTGTGTGGAGGCCGACAGCGGGAGGCTGGCCTCAGAGCTCAACCACGTGCAGGAGATGATGGAGGGCTACAAGAAGAAGTGAGTGCATCGGGGAGGAGAGTATGGAGAAAGGAAATGGGATTAATTCAAAGCAGGAAAGATTTGGGTCGCACCACAAGAGGAAATTTCCAGAAGGAAGAAGACAGTGACAGGAAGCCTATGGGGAAAGTTTTCCTTTTCTGGGATGGGAATTTAAACGCTGGAGAGAGTCTGAGCTGCTCCGACTACCTCATCATTATGTGTCTATTTCATTGATTTACTAAACATTTGTTGAGCATCTACTCTATGTTCTAGGTGCTATTTTGGCCCTGAGATTGGGTAGGGGCAAAAAATGTGTGGAGGAGAGGAAAGAGGGTTACCAGAACTAGAGCAGGGTTCCTGCCCCCCAGGAAGTTACAATCCAGAAACAGAGGGAAATGTACAAGGCACCCACCCTGGCCTATATCATGAACGAGGGTCCCTGTAACAGGAAAAGCAGTGAGTGACATGGGTTGATTTGAGTGCCAAGAGGAAAAGGATGGACAAGGTCCCTTCTAGTCTAACATTTTTTGATTCTTTGACCACCTCCAAATGCTCTAGTTCCTGAAATGTGTTTGTCTGGACCTTGATTCTCTCTTTTTTTCCCTCTTCAAATCCCAGCCTATTGACATTCTAGTCACTGAACTTTGTGCCCTTTGTCTCCAGGTATGAAGAGGAGGTGGCACTAAGAGCCACCGCTGAGAATGAATTTGTGGCCCTGAAGAAGGTGAGTGACCCCAGAATACTGTCCCACAACTCAGATCTGAGGGCAGAGGTAGGAGGGAGCCCTCCATAATTCAGAGAGGCTGAGTGACTCCCCAAAATCACATAGCCCAACTTCTCCTCTGTTCCTTTTCTCAAATTCCCCAATGCTCCCTGGGTGACCCTAATGCCAGAGCACACTGTCTGCTTCAAGAAGGGCAATCTTCTCCCCAATCCGAGGTAACTCCCATCTGGCTGATGACTTCCCACTTCCTTTTGCCCTGTACCTGGCAGACAGTAGGCACTCAACAATGATTTGTGAATGAAAGAGCACATGAACGCTACAAGGTGGCTTCATCCTCAGGCTGGCAACAGGTGGGAAATGCTGGCATGAACAGTGCTGTTGTTCCTCACCTCTTAGACTTGACTCGGCACAAGTGCCATCATGTGCACTCTTGCCAAGTCCTTTCGACCACCTCCATATGAGGAAGGCAGGGGTTACTGTGAGGAAACTGAGGCATAGAAGTCAGAGGTCTTGCCTTGGGTCGCACTGGCTTAAAAGGGGCAGAGTTGATCCCTGAGACCTCTTCTCTGCCCACAGATCTAGATTTCTTTCCATGATATTCCAGAGCAGAGGCATCATTAGAATTGACCCATTTTACATTAGATCCTAAGTTTCAGTGACTGTACGAGATGTGGATTCTAGAGGAATCATCCCAGTGGGTACCAGAGGAAGTGCCTGGAAACCTCATCTCCCTCCCTTACCCAAACCTGCTCCTAACCCGTCTAACTGCGTAAAGGACTGCATCGACACCCTGATATCAGACCCTGGGATCACAGGCTGAGGAGAGTCTCCAGGGAGTTTGCCCAGCCTAGTGGGCTACCTCTCTCTGGTGGGGAGAGTTCTGTGTCATATCCCCAGTGATACTCCTGTCCCACCCTCTGCCCTTTAGGACGTGGACTGTGCCTACCTACGCAAATCAGACCTCGAGGCCAATGCAGAGGCCCTGATCCAGGAGATTGACTTCCTGCGGCGACTGTATGAGGAGGTGAGGGACCAGAGAGCAGTGGGGCAGCAAAGAAGATGAATTAGATCTTGGAAAGCACTTGCCACCATTTGGCTTCTGAACCCCCTGCATTAGGGGAGTGCAGAGCAGAGTTGAGAGACCTAAGGCACGTTTACTGTCAGAAAGTGAAGAAGTGTAGCTTGGTGTCTAATCTGCCATGCCCCAGACAAGCTGGTGTTCCTGGTTACTGTGTTGGCAATTATAAATTGAGAAATTTATTTATCACAAATTGATAAATTCTGGTCCCAGACCACAAGGGTCCAGACAGAAGCTCTGACTGAAATCGGGCAGTGGGCCTCAGACATGGGCTCATCTCAGCCTCAGGACTCTGAGTCTGAGGACCATTGAGAGGTCCTGGAGTTTAGGGGGAGATGTCACCTTGGAGGTTGGGGCTTCAGACAGTGAGGCTATGGAGGAAGCAGGGGAAGGGGACAGGGAAGGCCCGTGAGAGGGTGGGCTGCTCAGAAGCAGGTGTTCTGGTTGAAGAAGCTCTTACCACGCTCCTTCCCCCACAGGAGATCCGTATCCTTCACGCCCACATCTCAGACACTTCGGTCGTCGTCAAGATGGACAACAGCCGGGACCTGAACATGGACTGCATCGTAGCCGAGATCAAGGCTCAGTATGATGATGTTGCCAGCCGCAGCCGGGCCGAGGCAGAGTCCTGGTACCGCAGCAAGGTGAGTGCCCAGCACCCGCTTCCCAACAACCCAGCAAGAGGGATACTAAAAGGGCTTTGATGTTTGTCTAGGTGAATGGGCAAGCGAAGGGCAGGCAGCTCTCAGTATGAGGTGATATATGTGCAAGCTGTGGGGCTCAGGAGAATGACATATCTTGTGCCCTATAAGTGTCTCCCCCTCCCACCAGTGTGAGGAGATGAAGGCCACAGTGATCCGGCACGGGGAGACCCTGCGCCGCACCAAGGAGGAGATCAATGAGCTGAAAGAGGCTGACCGCCGAGGTCGAGAATGCCAAGTGCCAGGTACAGGAGACTGACCTGCCCCTCGGTGTAGAAAGAGAAAGGGGCAAGCCTGCAGCAGGGAGTTTCAAAGTTGACACCTTGTCAAAGAGTAGAAAAAGGAGCAAACATCAAGCATTAGGTGAGTCTCCTCCATGAAAAACACTCTCCATTCCACTGAATGGGGGAGGGAGGTTGGGATTTGAGGAGCAGTATGGAGTAGAAAGGAGTGACTGGGATTTTCTTGGTCTTGGGGACAGAAAGGGTCAGAAGAAATACCTCTGGTGTGAGGGGCAGGAAACGAGATTGTCAAACCAGCCCTGCCACTAGCTTACCACGTGATTTAGAGTAAGCCATTTCACCTTTCTGGCCCATTGTTTTCGATCAGTGACCACACATGCCCATGTCCCAGAGGTTAGTAAATGAGTGAAGAAGGCTGTATTGAAGGCACTAGGGTGTGGTAAACTAGAAATCACAAAGGGCAGAGCTAATCGGATCCAACTGAGGCAGGCTCTATGGAAATGCAAGTCCAGTGGGGCCAGATCCTTAGATTTTTCCAGAAGGACCAGGAATCTGGACTGACTTTCATGTTAAAATTCAAAAATTTTAAAAGATACTGTGCCAGCATTTCTGGGAGCACTAATTTGCAACCCCTGACCTCATAAATGAGTGAAGCCCCTTCTTCCTCTGACAATCAGTGGTCACTAGATGCCTGGCCTCTGACCCCAAATCCAGAACTCGAGCTTTAGTAACCCTCCCCTGCCTCCCAGAACACCAAACTGGAGGCTGCAGTGACCCAGTCTGAGCAGCAGGGCGAGACGGCCGTCAGCGACGCACGCTGCAAGCTGGCCGAGTTGGAGGCCGCCCTGCAGAAGGCCAAGCAGGACATGGCCTGCCTGCTCAGGGAGTACCAGGAGGTGATGAACTCCAAGCTGGGCCTGGACATCGAGATCGCCACCTACAGGCGCCTGCTGGAGGGCGAGGAGCAGAGGTAAGGACTACACCTGTGGGGAGGATGTCTCTCCAATCTCCCGGAACTGTGTTTAGAGCTAAGAGCATGTTCCCATATTACTTGCATCTAATTTGCATCCGGATTACTTGAAGGAGAGAAGATGCAAGCTTTGCTCCCCCAATTAATTTTTGTCTCTTTGCTCTCCCACAGGCTGTGTGAGGGCATTGGTGCTATAAATGTCTGTAAGTAATCTATCTATACTGTGGATTCTGAAATAAGGTTTTGGGGTTCCTGGTGAGCAGACTTTTCCTTAAAGGGCCAGATAGTAAATATTTTAGGCTTGTGGGCCATGCAGTCTGTCTCAACCATTCAATTCTGTCATTGTAATGTGAAAGCAGCCACATCCACAAGCAATACTTAACAAATAGACCTGGCTGGGTTCAACAAAACTTCATTTACAAATGCACAACCACAATTTAAAGACCCTAGAAGAACAGAGAAGAATGTGGCGGTGAAAGATTATAACTTAAGTATTTTTGCCTATAGGGAGGGCCTGGGCTAAGTTTATCAAGGATGCTTGAGGTTAGACTGCAGGAAGGAGTGCCCAGATGTGAGGGTGTTTGTGGGGTGAAGGAGGGAACTAGAAATAGAGGGGAGGAGCTCTGAGCAAGAGAAAGGGGCTCTGGTTGGCAGGCAGGGGCCGTCGACTACCACCTGGCACAGGGACTAAGCCCTGTCCTCCTCCTCCAGGTGTCAGCAGCTCCCGGGGTGGGGTTGTCTGCGGGGACCTCTGCGTGTCGGGATCCCGGCCTGTGACCGGCAGCGCCTGCAGCGCCCCCTGCAGTGGGAACCTGGCGGTGAGCACGGGAATGTGCGCGCCCTGCGGACAGAGCTGTGGCAGCAGCCGCTTGGTGCGATTTGCTTAGCGCCTCTCTTTGTGCAAATACCGATCCGCGAGCGAACCGGCCCCAACTCCAGCGGCCTGCCCGGACCTCAAAAAGAATCTGGGCTTAAGACGGAAGGGCTTCGGGAACCAGCCGGCCTGACCCTGCCTACACTGCTGCCTTAATTTCTCGAACCACAGCCCTTCACCCCCACCCGATCCTCCGCTTGTCTCTTCATTTCTTCCAGGGAGGCGGAGCTCCCCGCCCCATGTCTTGGCGGCTCTTCCCCATCCCTTAGAGTCTAAACGACTAGGTTTCCTCGCAGCCCTGTGCAAATATCCAGTCCTGACTTGGGCTGCTGTGGAGGCTTGGACTCCCGTGTCTTCTAAGGGACCGGTTGGCTCTAGGGCCCCTCAAGTGTGGAAGTGCTGCTGGTGTTGTGCCTTCCCTACCCTGTAAACCAGCGCACAGTGACTGAAGCTCTGTCTCCCTGGGGAAAACTTTCCGCAGCTGCTTGGGCTCCCTCTCCCTTGCGCTTGGTCTCCACGTTTTCAATAAAGCTCACGGGTCATATAAATCGCACTGGAGACTCCCTACGCGCCTCTGTGTGACACACGTGGACTTCCGACCCAGTTTTTACCCCCGTTGTATGCAACAGAGGAGCCGTTCTCTACCAAAGAGGCAGAGAGGGCTGCCACAGGTGCCACATTCCTACATTCTGAAGTGTGCAGGGGCATGGCCCCGCAGACCCAAAACCCAGACACACAGAACAGAAGGAGCTGGCAGGGAAGTGAGAAGGACAACAGGGGAGGGCCTGGCTCTCCTGACACCTTGGGTGGGGACCTCATCGCTAGGGCTGTTGGGACATCAGTAGTCCACTTCTTCCACTCTCTCACTCCAGCCCCATCTCAACATGTGAAAATTCCTAACCATGGGATCAAATATAGACGTCCCCAACCCCCAGAAACCAAACACTCCCTTGATAGCCCCCTACCCCACACACGTACCACCATCACACCTGGGGATGGGGGTCCCAGACACAGAGCCTTCCCATCTCCTCCCCAGTACCCATCATATGTGCTGCTATCCATCTTGGATGGATAACCCCAAGCATAGACCGTAAAAACAGCCCCCACACTCAGTCACATAGACCCCACATCAGACACCTGACACATAGATGCCCCGTCAAGTACATTCTTAACACACATATGCCCCAACCCCCAGGAGTCTATATGCACAGCCCATCCCTCAGCCCATGGACCCAGGCACAGAACCACCACTAGGAACTCAGAGACTCTGGGGGACCCCTCATCCCAGCCCTCTCCCAAGCACACTCAGACCTTCTCCCACCACCACCCCCACAGAACTCCAGACCCAGAGGGCCTCCTCCAGGGCCTCAAACACACTCACTGCCCAGGGCAGGAAGGGCTGAGGGCAGCTGGTCTGAGAGTTGGCTGTTCTACCAGGAAACCAGGGTGGGGGAGGGCTAGCAGCACAGGAGCGGGGTTCAAACAGCCCTTTCACCCCCCTCAAAAAAACCAGCGCCCACTTCCTGGCAGAGCCAGAACCTCCCTGGGGGTATCTCTGGGCTTCTTGAGGAGAGGAGTTGGAATGCCCAGGGAGGGAGCCAAGGCCTCACAGTGGATAAGAGCCAAATTCCTTAGATCAGCACCCCCGTGTCAGCAACATGCTTTCCCAGTCTCCTGCACAAGAGGCTTCCAGTTATCGGGGCAGACCCTGTCCTCTCTAGGGCCCCTCCTCCCCACCCCGCTTCTCCACCCAGCAAAATGAAGCCAGGATACTAGGTGCCAGGCATGGGCTCCTCCAGCCCTCGGAAAGAGGCTGTTTATTGAAAGCTATTCTGACATCATCTTCCAGACTGCTTTGCAGTCTTGGGACCAGGAATAGGACTAGGGTGAGAGTCCTCTTGTGACTATAGGGGGCGGGGGTATGGCTCTCCCCACACCCAGGGCTCAGTTGAGGGTACTCCTGCGAGTGGCAGACGTGGTCCTGATGGAATAGGCCTTGAGAGTCCCAGGCCCTCCGCTGCTTGAGAATTTCAGGGCATTGCTGCCCATGGTTCCCCCGAAGGTCAATCCACCGCCACCACCTCCAGTGGTGTTCACTACAGCTAGAAGAGAAGACTCCATCAGCATGAGGCCCACAACTGAAGGACCATCCCTTCACTACACCCCATGCTCCTGCCATAGCTGCCCTTCTTCCCTTCACCTACCACCTCCTTTCCCACCACCCACCAGGGGCCAGCCCAGAAGAAGCCTCAGACAGCATGTGTATGTGTGTAGGGGGGGGGGGTGGATACTCCACACATGTCCCTTGCCCCATCTTGCCCTCTCACAAGGGTTCCCTAGGATATTGAGTCTGGCTGGATGGGAGCTCCAGGGTACCTGCTGGAAGCTATTAAAGGGAAGGAAGCTCCCGGTCCCTAAAGAGCCAGGTCCTCAGGCCAATATACCATCTCATAGACCCTGCCCAGTCTGGACAGCACAGGGGGTGGGCCAAAGCCAAGGACTTACAGATGTTCAGGGCTCCCACTCCATTTCCGTCCAACCTGGGGGCAGAGTAAAGACTTGTGAAAGCGGCTCTTTCCTCGGTGCTAGAAGAGGCCCTCTCAGGAACCCCCACATCTAGTCCCCAAGCAGTATTGGTGTTCCTTCCTGTCCCCACACTTCCAGCCTTCCTTCATCCTTGTTGAAAAATGAACAAGGAGGAGTGGGGGGCAGAGTTCACTTAGGCCCTCCTACCTACTGGCTATATGACCTTGGGAATGTCTCAGAGCTTCCATTTCTTCACCTATAAATAGGGTCTAACTCAGTACCAACCTCACAGAGTTGTTTGTGAAGGTTAAATGACATAATTTACCTAAAGCCCTGGGCACACAGGATTTGGTACATGGTAGCTGCTCTTATTATTATGTAGTAGCTGCCTCCCCTAACCAGATCATAAAAATCCTGAAAATCAGCTATATAGCTTACTGATTTCCTGTTTCTCCAGCTCCAGTCTGGCATGTAGTAATTAATATGTGTTGAAAGAACTCGTGTATTGTAGACTGAGTGAATGCAGCTCCAGCTGAGACTGAGGTGGGAACGGGGAGGAAAAGTGGGGTGGCTTCAAGCAGCCTGTGGGGCTGAAAACACATCTTGCACTGGAAGTTCAAAATCCACCCAAGACAGCTGGGTGTGTTTGCTTCGTGACGTTCATCCCTACTGTGGCCAAGCCCTTGGCCCTGGGGATGAGTTTACTCTGCAGTGGGGAGGGTACACCTTACTTTTATGGAGGGAGTGAGGGAGCCCACCTGGCCTCAGCAGCCCCAAGTCTAGGAAGAGGGCAAAGCAAAGGCAAAGGTCAAGAAATGGGTCTGCTAGGAAGCTTCCAGGCCCCTTATTCAAATAGCTGAGAGGTGAAACCAGTCTGGAAAGAGAGGCGGGAAGGAGGAGGAAAGTTGGCACTTATCTTTGTGAGAACGAAGTGCTGGGAGTTGCCGGCAGTTTTGTTTTTGTTTTTTGTTTTTGTTGGGGGTGGTGGGTAGCCAGGCTGCAATCAGGCAGCAATTTCATATAAGAATTTCTAGTACAAAGCCTAAAGAACTCAAAAGGAAGGGACTTGAATATCTCAGGCTCTCGTGATTTGTGCGATCTTTCTCTTCTCATCCTAAATAAATATTTGTTTTTATGCCTAATTTTATATTTGTAACTCTGTATTCTAGGAAAAAAAGATGCCCCAAATTGTATGAGTTTCTAAGACCATAAATCTTAGATGGGCCCCTGGGAAGGGCTGAGGGGTTAAGGGATAAAAACAAGGTGTCCATCTCCACATCCCCTAAGGGGTCGAGAGAGGACAGTCTCCTCTCAGAGAACCAGGATCTAAGCCCAGATGATAGCAACCTGGGAGGAATGTCACCATCCCTGAGCTTCGGCCCCCATATCTACCCACAGGAGAAAATGAATCAGGCTCCACTTTAAGCATCCTGCAGCTCTGATTCTGTGAAGAAGAAAGGCCCAGGGTCTGCATTCCCAAGAAAGTGGGGTCCTTGCACCCATGGTGGAGGAGGGTGCAGAGAGAGGCATCTTGGCTGGGACGGTTGGGCTCAGGGGCTGCCCTGTGCCCCAGATCAACTGCTTTCTCTTCCCAGAGGCCTTTGTTGTTCAATTCATTCCCACAGAGGTAGGTGCCAACTTTCCTCCTCCCCACCTCTCCTTTCAGACTGATTTTGGCATTCAGGCACTCTGCTTCCAGTACTCTCTTATTCCCCACCTCCTTCTTCTCCACTCCATTCATCCCCATCTTCTCTCCCCAGCCTTCTGGAATAATGCTCAGAAAAAGTTCTTCATAAACTCAGCATTTTATGAATTCGAGTTACTAGTCTCTGAGTGTTTCCTTTGCAGACGTTTTGTCTCCTCACCCCCTGGGGAGAAGCATGCTCCCCGAGGGCAGAAACATGTTTTACATGTTATCTATCTCTGTGTTAGGTTCCAACAAGCCAAGCCATGAGGAGTTCTACCTCCAGGCCTTTGCCCACGCTGTTCCTTCTCACCCTCATCAAATCCTAACCTCTCCCCAAGGCACAGCTCTAAAGCCTGTCTGTTGACTGAATGAATCAACCAATCCATCAAGGTGAGAATGAAGGCCAGATTTCATGGACATAGATTCCATGTCTTTCACGAAGAGTTCCCTACAAAACTAACCCATCCCAGCCTCCTCTCGGGCTTCAGGGGAGTATACAAATATCTCTGGGGACAGGGGAAAATTAACCTCCTACCACAGTCAATACCACATGACTTAGCACTTTATATAGTAAGAAGCAGCCTGGTGTTATAGAAGATGCTTGAACGAGGAATCGGCAGAGACTGACTATTGACTGCACACTGGCCCTGTTCCTTCAACGAACCATAGTTTCTCCTCTGTATCAACAATACCTGACCTGCTTACCTGAATGTGTTCTAAGGATCAGATAAGAAGACCCTGCTAGTGGCCACCACACCCGTGAATGGGCTGTTCTTACTTCAACTTTCCCACTGTGCCTTATACTACAAGGTCTAGGTCATTTCATCAAGGGCAAAGAAGTAAGCATCAGCTGCACCCTCCTTGTCCCTCCCACCTCCAATGCCCTGAAGAAGAGGGTACATAGGAAATGCTTGTCGAGGAAGAAAGGTCACACCCCAGGCTCCACTGAGCCCTGTGACCTCACCGGCTCTCCTCGCCCTCCAGCAGCTTGCGGTAGGTGGCAATCTCAATGTCCAGGGCCAGCTTGATGTTCAACAGCTCCTGGTACTCTCGAAGCTGCCGGGCCATGTCCTGCTTGGCTCGCTGCAGGGCAGCCTCCAGCTCCTCCTGCTTGGCACGTGCATCCTTGAGTGCCAGCTCCCCATGCTCCTCAGCCTCAGCGATGGCAGACTCCAGCTTGGCACGCTGTGAGTAGTAGAGGAGCTGTGAGGTGGAGGCAGCACTCGACAGTAACTGCCTTCCTGCCTCCTCATCCTGCAGCGAGCATCTGGGCAATCTGCTTACTGGGCTTCATTGGCACCAGCCTATTTCCCCAATTACCAAAGGATCCCAAGGGTTAAAAACAAGGGTTCTCATATCCAATACCTACGTTCCAATTCTGTCTTACTACTTATGAGATCTTGGAATGAATCAACCCTTCTAAGCCAAAGTCTCCTCTTTTCTATAATAGCAATAATCACAGTGTCTACCTCATAAGGACATTGTGAGAATTAAATGAAGTAACACACAAGTCCTTGGCACAGTGTCTAGCACACAGTAAGTGCTTAATAAATGCTATTATGGAGGAACTCCAAAGCCATGGGAGCCAGGTTGAGTCCCCAGATTTCAGGCAGCTGATAAGAACCAAAAATCGCCTTCAAAACAGGAACCATATGGGATATAACTCTAAAAGCAACAAATGAGCAGGACAAACAAACAGAGACTCATGGACATGGACTACAGACTAGTGGTTACCAGAGGGCTATAGAGTAAGTGGTTACTAGTGGGGTAGGGAGGAGGAGGGGTGGGTAGAGA